AGCATGAGAGGGAGGAGGGCCAGAGGGAGAAGCAGACTCCCTGCCTAGCAGGGAGCCCGATGCGGGACTCGATCCTGGGACTCCAGGATCATGACCTGAGCCGAAGGCAGTCGCTTAACCAACTGAGCCACCCAGGCGCTCTCACCTAGTTCATTTGTGATAAAACGTCTGCCAAATACCCAACGCTTGATAAACATAGTTTGTCTCAATCATTATTTTAAGTAAAAATAGTTCCATGGAAATAGTGGCTAATTTAGCTCACAACTCAACTAATTGTGCAAATGCTTAACCATGTGCTTTGGTATGCAGTAGAAGTGCTTTCTCTATCCTTCCCATGAATGACACAGAATATTAAAAAGGCATGTATTCAGAAGTTGAAGTTTAATAAAATCAATTTCTACTGCTTCATCAAACACATTCTAAAGTGAAACTGGTAAAAAAAAAAAAAAAGGGAGGGGGTACCTTGCTGGCTTAGTTGGTAGAGCATGTGACTTTTTTTTTTTTTAAGATTTTATTTATTTATTTGACAGAGAGAGAGACAGCGAGAGAGGGAACACAAGCAGGGGGAGTGGGAGAGGGAGAAGCAGGATTCCATGGAGCAGGGAGCCCAATGTGGGCCTCGATCCCAGGACCCTGGGATCAAGACCTGAGCCGAAGGCAGACGCTTAACGAGCCACCCAGGTGCCCCAAGCATGTGACTCTTGATGTCAGGGTTGTAAGTTCAAGCCCCATGTTGGGTGTAGAGATTACTTAAAAATAGAATCATTTTTTTAAAAAAGTGAGGGGCTTCTGGGTGGCTCAGTCAGTTAAGCATCTGCCTTCGGCTGAGGTCATGATCCCAGGGTCCTGGGATCGAGGCCCACATTGGGCTCCCTGCTCCATGGAAGCCTGCTTCTCCCTCTCCCACTCCCCCTGCTTGTGTTCCCTCTCTCGCTGTGTCTCCCTCTGTCAAAATGAATAAATAAAATCTTAAAAATAAATAAATAAATAAGTGCAATTCTTACTAAAAAAAAAGTAAAACTGGTATTTTTTTTTTTTTTTAGTAAGCTCTATACCCAATGCAGGGCTCAAACTCAGGACCCCGAAATCAAGTCGCATGCTCCACCAACTGAGCCAGCCAGATGCCTCTGAAACTGGTATTTTTTGTCTTTTTCTTTTTTCTTTTTAAGATTTATTTATTTATTTTAGAGGGGGGAGGGGCAGAGGGAGAGAATCTCGAACAGAGACTGATATAGGGTTTGATCTCACCACCCATGAGATCATGGCCTGAGCCGAAACCAAGAGTAATACGCTTAAGTGACTGAGCCACCCAGGAACCCCAAAACTGGTATTTTCGAAAGTGAGTGCATAGTATTAATAAAATTATTAATAGTATAGTAATTATTTTGTTCACTATTGCTTTTATGTCACCAGTGTAAATGTTAACATAGTAAAAGGCAAATAATGTCTTAGTTGTATTATGATAATAGTTTGGTCATTGCAGACCGATCCCTGAAACCATATCAGGGACCCCCCGCATTTCTGTGGACTGAACTTTGAGATGAATTCTCCCCACCCTGACAGAATGTAAATCCTGCAATTCCAGAGGTTTTCTGTTTCTTGTTCACTGATATACCTCTAGTGCCTACATTGTGCCTGGCACATAGTAGGCACTCAATAATTATTTGTTTAATTAATAAATTTTTAATGAAGTAATCAACCAGAACTAGATCATAATAGTGAAGAGCTTATAATCTGCATTACTGGAAACTCATTTTTTAAAAATTTAGTTTTGAATAGGTAAAATATACAAGAGGGTACATGGTGAAAATTTGCCCATTTTGCCTTCTCCAAGGCATTTAAGTTGTTTTCTCAGAGATATCCCCTACTGTCAGTTTCTTATGCATTTTTCCAGTGATATTTTGAGGATTCACAAGTATATACACAAGCATATTCCTTTCTTCCCTCACACATATGGTGGTATACTACATACAATATGGACTGCATAGTGCTTTTTCAAAAGTAAACTTTTCTTTTGGAGTAATTGCAGATTTACAGAAAAGTTTCAGAGATTCTTGTATACTCTTTACCCACTTCTACTAATGTTAACATCTTACATAACCATAGTACCATGTCAAAACTAAGAAATTAATATTGGTACAATACTATTAACTAAATTACAGAATTTACTTAGATTTCACTAGTTATGTCCTTTCAGTTCTAGGATCTAATCCAAGATAACACATTGCATTTAGCATACTGCTTTTTTTGCCTTAAAATGTACTTTGGGAATTGTCTCATTATCAGTTAATATGTAGTTGCCTCCTCTGGAAGGACTGTAGAATGACTTCCTAGAAGTAGAATTTCAAGGCCAATGATTATATGTGTTTAAAAATGACCAGGGGTGCCTGGGTGGCTCAGTCGGTTAAGTGTCTGACTCTTGATTTGGCTCAGGTCATGATCTCAGGGTCTTGAGAGCCCCCCTCTGTGTGGGGCTCCATGCTAAGTGGGGAGCCTGCTTAAGATTCTCTCTCTCCTTCTCCCTTTGCCCCTCCCCTGCTTTCTCTCTCTCAAGAAAAAAAAAAAGACCAAACCCCTCTCTGCCAGAGAAATTACCATACTCTTCTAAGCAGTCCCCCTGTGCTTTGAGTGTTGCAAGTTTCTTCGAAGTTCCAAGATTAAGATTGGGGACTGAATGAAGTTGACAAATGTAAATTACTCAAAACAGTTTTTGCAGACTTCAAAATAACTATTTTTTTTTAAGATTTTATTTATTTATTTGACAGAAAGACAGTGAGAGAGGGAACACAAGCAGGGGGAGTGGGAGAGGGAGAAGCAGGCTTCCCGCTGAGCAGGAGCCTGATGAAGAGCTCCATCCCAGAACCCTGGAATCATGACCTGAGCCAAAGGCAGATGCTTAATGACTGAGCCACCCAGGCGCCCCAAAATAACTATTTTTAATGTACTGACACAAATACACATAGCATCGCATGATTTACATTATACCAATAATTCATTGTACCATGACCCAGAGGTATAGTTGGTTCCTCCTAGAACCACTAGGGGGCTCTGCTGGAAGGGTTTTTATAATTTATGTTAGTCCACTTTGGGAGATGTTTCCAAATGATGCTTTAGAATTCTGACCTCTTAAAACTTGAAAGAGATCATCATCTAATCCAGCTTCTTTATTTTGCTGATGAGGAAACCAAGGTTGACCAAGATAGCTAGCATGGAGGAAAGCTGGGATCAAAAATCTCTTCTTGGTTCCTATGGCAGAAGTTCAAGAACTTCTTTTTTTCCATGTACTTCCACTTGAATGATTCACTGCCGGGGGATAGTTCCTTTTTGGTGCCATAATTTTAGTAATTTTTGCTAAGACCGTGTATTTGTGATATTTTTCTAGGAGGACACTTTACTAATTGATTAGGTGAAAGAAGCTCATGAAATAAAAACTAGGGCGCCTGGGTGGCTCAGTTGGTTAAGCGACTGCCTTCGGCTCAGGTCATGATCCTGGAGTCCCTGGATCGAGTCCCGCATCGGGCTCCCTGCTCGGCAGGGAGTCTGCTTTGCCCTCTGACCCTATCCCCTCTCATGCATTCTCTCTCAAATAAATAAATAAAATCTTAAAAAAAAAAAAAGAAATAAAAACTAAATAACCTTTATTACTTATTCTATTTAAAGTACTGCTCAGCACCAAAACCATATTATTTACTGAAACCCTAGCAACGACTTTCAAATTGCCTTTCAAACTTACTTCGCGCTTAAGACATTTTACTCTTATCTTCATTTGTTCATTCAATATTTATTGAGTGCCCACTACTGCCAGATACCGTTGTAGGCCCTGGGCTTACAGAAGTAAAGCTACCGTTCCTCCACAAGAAGCCTCTATTTCTCCATTTTTCACTTTAATATACAAACTATTTTCACATGTTTTAGTGTAGTGGTTCTCATAGTGTAGCAGCAAGAGAACTTGTTAGAGGTGCAAATTATTAGGCCACCCCACACTCTAGGGATGGGGGTCTAGCAACCTGGTTTTTTTAACAAGCTCTTCAGGGATTCTGATGTACACTCGAGGTTAAAAACTATTAAAACTCAGTATTAATTATCTAAGTAGCTCAGAGATCAACATCTGGCTTCTAGATCCACCTCAGGCATCTACATGGAGTACCTGTTTGAAATACACCTGATGGGACCCAACAACGACCACTCTTAATTCAGTGACGTGTAGTACCTGGAACGATCGGATTAGTAGGGGCACTCTAATGGCTTCAGAACAAAAACGGACCGCAGTGGATTTTTCTGGGCTACAACAACAGAAAATGGGCCGGGTCGAGTTCTGGAATGGTGCTTTTATACACTAGACACAGTCAGGCACATTAAGCCTGTGGGTTCTGGGTCTGGCTGAGTCAGGACGGCGCTCGTAGGCGCTCGTAGTCGATGGGGCCGCGTGAACCCGTTAGGTTGGGCTCAGTCTTCAGTCAGAGGCCATGGCCTGGAAGCCCCAACCACACCGCAGTGATTTGAAGAGTGACGGCGGCACAAGAGAGGCCCCGGGAGGCCCCGGCAGGGCGGGCCGGCGCGGAAGCCGCACCCCCCGGACCCAGACGCCGGCAGGGCGGAGCCGCGCGGCCGCAGCTCCGGCAGAGACGCGCGGCGCGGCGCGGCTCGGCGCGGGCTCGCGTTTGAGGCGTATGGGGCTACAACGGGAGCGGCTGCGCCGCCCGGCCGGGTCAGCGTCTTGCGCATGCGCGGACCCGGCGCCATTTTGGTGGCCGGGCGCGGAGGTGATTCCACACTGAGGAGAGCGCGGCGGCCGGGGTGGCAGTGGCAGCGTTCGTGTGCTCGGGTGTGAATCGCCGAGGGAGGAGGCGGTGGTGGAAGAGGTGGCGGCGGTGGCGGTGGTCGTAGCGGTGGCGGAGGAGGCGGGTACGAATCAGCTGCGGGCGGAGACATGGCCAACATCGCGGTGCAGCGAATCAAGCGGGAGTTCAAGGAGGTGCTGAAGAGCGAGGAGGTCAGAAATGAACTCCCGGACATCCCCCACCCCAGCCCAGGGCGGGAGGGTTCTTCCAGCGGAGACCCCAATATCCCCGGTAACCCCTGGGTGGCCCTCCTTGCGGTCGCCCTTTTGCCTGTGGGGAAGCAGCAGTCTCCCCCTGCTTCCGTCGCCTTCTCCTCCCCTCCCTGGGCCCTGGGATGGACCGCCTCGCGGGCGGGTGGTCTGGAGAGGAACACGGTTTGGGGGGCAGATGGAGAAGGGGGCACTTCTTGGAGGCGTGTGAGCCCTAGAGAGAGCCCCGAGGCAGTGGCAACAGCTGGAAGTGTGGCTGTAGGGTGTGGAGGGAGCAGGCCGAGCCTGAGAAAACCCGGGAAGTGGGTTGGGGGAAGGGGGAAGGGGAAAGGTGGTAACTGGATCCGGAGAGCCGCGCTGCTCAAAGGCCCACACTTTTAAGGGTATTCTACATTATAGCCTGTTTGGCCTCCAGTGTCCTTTCCTTTGGGAAGGAGCGGTAAAAGGCCTTAGGTATTGATGAAGGAAGGACGTTCAGAGTTACTCCCTCCTTAGTTCGGTGTTGGGAGAGAAGAGGAGACATAATGGGATACTATTTTATTTGAGTGGGAGATAAGGGAATTTTCACCTGAGGTAGGAAATTAATTCCAAATTAGATCATTATCTCATTTTCACCGACCCCGGCCCCCAGTTTCTAGGCCTCTTTTCTGTTGACATCTAAAGCTTTTTGATTGCGTGAAGGCAAGTTGTTTGGTGTATTAAAGGCATTTAAATGTTTTTCGTTAGGAAAAAATAATGGAGGGTATGAGTAGCTTATTTCAAAATATTGTTTACAAGTTACAGATCAGAGTTTCTCCTAAGACAATGCCTCTGTGACTGTTGTGTTGTGCCGTGAAACTTCATTATGATGTCCCTCATAGTTAACTTGATTCTTACTTTTTAAAAACAGTCCTATTAAAAACATGGGACTTCACCAGATCAATGCATTATTATACCTCCTTATTGAGTAGGTTTGTCTCGATGTATCTTATCTGAATTATTAAAAACATTTTTTTGGTCTCAGGCTGCTCTTGAGTCTTGCAGAATTTACTCTGATGTTGGCCATATTTATTTATGTAATATATTTAAAATTCCCTAGTGATTTGACTCAAAACTGTGCAAGTGTTGGTACAATTTTTCATACTCAAATCAACAAGAATGCCAAGTTGTTTTTCCTCCTTGGATTTAACAAAGAGAGATGAAAAAGTAATACTGAAATACTTATTATTTTCAAGATGTCATATACCATTATTAAACGTATCATTACTATTTGTGGTTTTCTCTTGTGTTGGAACTTTGATAATCTAAATGATTTGTGAAATTCATCATTCTAAGTATGTGATGAGTAATAGACATAAATGATAGTACTTGAGCTTTATTTGTGTCACTGATTCTACAGTGATCATTTTTCCAATTAGACATGTTGAATATAATTCTTTAAAATTAACTTAAAAATAACCAATACTAGCAGATTTTTTGAATGTAGTAGTCTGTGAGAAATGATCTGTTTTACAGAGCATGTGTATGAACTCTGACCTCTGTATTTGTTCAAGTGCCAAAACTCTGAATGGAAGGATGACTTTGTATTTTTGCGGTACGGTGCAGAAATAGGGTCATAAATGTCTGTACTGATATACAGTGAAACAATAATTCTCACTTTTTATTTGCAAGAAAATATATTCCAGGATAGTTGACATATATATTCCTAATGAAAGATTCAGTTAATACAGTTGCCAACAGCCTAAAACATTTCTTCTGTAATAAAGTTGTACAAGCCTGAGAATATAAGACTTCTTTCAAATACTTTATTTTCTATTACTTAAAAATGGTAAGTTACTGCTCTCGTAATTCATATGGTCTCTTTGCTTTATATGAGGTGACATTCATCATATTTTTAGTACTTAATGCTTAAAAGAAATCTAGTATCGCTCTAGTATGCATATTGTTAAAACAGTACTGCTCTTCATATGTAAGGGATGCTGAAGCCTTGCTTCAAGTAAGCATTATAGTATTTCAGAGGAAGAGAATAGGAAATGCAACAAATTATTTTTTTTAAGAAGAGTACCTTTATAAATCTGGAAGGAAACTTCTTCCAGAAAATAAGTTGCAAAGTACATTTAGAAAAGGGTCAGATAATTTAATCTTGGATTATAACCAATAAATAGCTTTATTTTCACCAATATTTTATTTCATCGATAATTTAGTAGGCCCAGTTCTGTAAGTGGATTATGTTGATTACTTTCAGCTCATTGAAGGACTTGTAGTACAGTCCACGTGTTTCCTTTTTAAGTGTGGAAATGTAGTATTTTGAGTGTCTGGTCAAGTAACCAGGTATTTCATCATTTCATTTATGTAACTCTCGACATTTACCAAAGTTTGTTTCATATGCTCTTGCTTACTAAGAATACTGGTTGATTTAAGTTTTTTTTTTTTTTTTTTTGGCCTTTTAAGTTGTCTTATAAAGATAGCTGACATTTGCTGAATTCTGACCATAAGAAGTTGTAAGTGGCCATTCTTGGAGTGTGTTAATTAAAATATACTCTCCAAGATAAATCAAATGTGAAAAGCAAGGTGCAGAATAGTGTGGAGGAGGCCACCATTTGTGTTCAAAGAAGGGGAAAATATATGTATTTGTCTCAGTGAGAAATTGGTAAAATTGATTACTTCTAAATAAGGGAATGGGTGTCTGGGGTAACAGGCATCAAAGGATCCCTTTTGAGTTTTGAGTCATGCAAATATACTATTTACTTAAAATAATAAATAAAGGCATCTAGGCCTTTTTTCCTTGAGACTGTTTGGAAATCCATCCTTTATGTGTCAGACATTAATTTTATATATGTGTGAATTTTAAGTAATATTTCAAATTACCAGGAATGGAAAATTGATTAAAATATATTTTATAGTTATTTTATGAGTCGAATTACTAAGTGAAGTGTTGATTGTGAGGATATAATAAAACTATAATCTGTATTCACAGGTTGTATTATTATTATTGCTGTTAACAACTAACCACCATTTGTAGAGTGGCTCTCAGTACCATTTGTTTATGCATTATTGCTAATTTTCAAGAACAATTCTTTGAATTAGATTTCCTATTTCTTAGATGAGGAAATTGAGATTCAAAGAAGTTAAATTATTTGTCTGCAAACATATAGCTTTGGGATTTGGATCTAGGTCTGCTTGTGTTTATATTGTACCACACTGTCATTACTTTCCAAGGATAGGCATGCTTTAATTATTTAAAAATAACTGAGACTGGTTTGTATTACTGGTTACAGGATTTAAACACAACCTAATTAAAAAAATAAATAAACACAACCTAATTTAATAGTTTAAACGTTAAAATAAGGGACGCCTGGGTGGCTCAGTCATTAAGTGTCTGCCTTTGGCTCAGGTCATGATCCCAGGATCTTGGGATCAAGTCCCGCGTGGGGCTCCTTGCTTAGTGGGAAGCCTGCTTCTCCCTCTGCCTGCTGCTCCCCCCCTGCTTGTGGTCTTTCTCCCTCTCCCTCTCTCCCTCTGACAAATAAATAAAATCTTAAAAAAGAAACACATTAAAATAAGTGTTAACCTGTAAATTACTTAAAGATTTAGTTGATGTCAATATGCAAAATACTTTTAAAAAATATTTATTTGAGAGAGAGTGCAAGCTGCGGGAGGGGCAAAAGGAGAGTGTGAGAGAGAATCTCAAGCATGCTCCCCACTGAGCTCAGAGCCCTGCATCAGGCTTCATCTCAAAACCCTGAGGTCATGACTTGAGCTGGAACTGTGAGTCAGACACCTAACAGACTGAGCCACCCAGGCACCCTTGTAAAATACTTTAAAATTTGAAGCTCAGTGAAGTAAAATGCCCTTAAGTCAGTGCACTACCCGTGTTTGATCGTTATATGTTATTTGTAGTTTTTTCATATTGTAATTGTACTTTGCTAACGTTTTTTAAGATTTCAATAGGGAATATTTTAATTTATGGCATTACAAATTGATTTCATGAAAACTATAGTGTAAGTTTTCTTTTAAGTGTTTAAATGGATTTTGTATTTAGTGTCATTTTAAATTTAATATATTTGATCTAGGTTGATCTATAGAACTAGTTGGCAAGTCTTTAGAAGTAAATCTGTTGATTTCTGTAGACCATAGTTTCTCATCCTTAGCATTATTGACATTTTAGGTGGATAATGAATTCTTTGCTGTCAGAGTGGCTCTTTGCATTGTAGGATGTTAAGTAGTATCCCTGGCTTCTATCACTAGTTGCCAGTAGCGCAGCTAACCCTCCTCCCTACCTCCCCTTGCTCCCTGCCAGTTGTAGCAACTAAAACGTCTCCAGACTTTGCCAAATGTTGAGAACCACTGCTGTAGACAAAACTCTTTAGAAGAACATTTCAGACTATTAACTTTGTAAGATGTGTAGTATATTTTATCTAAAAGATGCACAGTAAAGGTACAAAAAAGTTTATAGCATGGCTACTACTAGTTTTGAGTGATGTTTTAAGATTTTATTTTTGTTTTCCCTTTGTAAATGATTTTTTTCTTTTAAACTCTTTCCTTTTTGATTTAAAGAAAAAGGTGAAATTCCCTCCTGGAAATGAATGTAACCGGAATTTGAACAATTTTTTTAAGAGTAGAAAAGCAGTTTTTACAGTTACATAAGTTACAGCTCTATGTAACTTATTTAAATAGTGTGCCTTACGGGGTTCTGGGTGTGGGCTGAGTGAGGAAAGCTTTTGATGGGGTAAAAAAAAAAAATTAGAGCCTGTCCAAGTAATACCGTTTGGGGTGCATTTCTTGTTTTATTTATTGTAAAGACTTTGATCTCTGTCCATCAGGCATAGATTTAGATGCATCTGGGATTCCCTACATGTCACCCCTTTGTGAAGAATATATATTCTTATTTTCCAGTAAATGTTATCAACAGTTATTGAGCATATTGGCCACAGCTCCAGATTTACTTGGTTGGAGATAAAAATGTTAGGTGCAAGAGTAAATATTATGGGAGTTTTGAGGGTATATGTATGGAGGGAGGGTTTTGTTTTTGTTTTGTAGTTTTTATTTTAATTCCAGTTAGTTAATATATAGGTTTATATTAGTTTCAGGTCTATAATATTGGAGGGAGGTTTTTAAGCTAGGTTCCGAAGGAAAGTTAAGACCGACCTCAAATTTCAGAAGACAGTGCCAAAGGAATTACAGGAATACTGGAATTTATAAGTATATGATTTTTTTTTTTTTCTGTAGGCACCTGAATTGGAACTAGGGTGCAGAGATTATTGACAAAATTAGGCAAGAAACACATTTACATATTTAGAAAGGTTGCGTGCACAGTTCTGATATACACACATAGTTGTGGAACTAGCGCCTAAATATCTTCACTATTATCTTTAGCAAAAAACACCTTTTTTCATGTCAAAGTAAAAGGTAACCGTAAAGTATGACCAGTACCCAGATCAGGTCTGAAACAATATTACCAGCACCACAGGAACGCCCAGCCATCTCTTTCCAGGCACTTTCCTGACTTCTGATAGTACAGATTTGCTCTGAGTATGTTTGAGTAAAAGAATAGACGTGAGTGTATACTATATGATTGTTTTAAGTTTGAAGGTTTTCAGAAGATGCCCTTCAAAATCTTTGTTCAGGGGGCACCTGGGTGTCTCAGTCAGTTAAGCATCCAACTCTTGATCTTGGCTAGGGTTGTGAGTTTGTACCCTGCATTGGGCTCTGTGCTGGGCGTGGAGCCTACTTAAAGAAAAAAAACAGGGGCACCTGGGTGGCTCAGTCGTTAAGTGTCTGCCTTCGGCTCAGGTCATGATCCCAGGGTCCTGGGATCGAACCCCGCATCGGGCTCCCTGCTCAGCGGGAAGCCTCCTTCTCCCTCTCCCACTCCCCCTGCTTGTGTTCTCTCTCTCACTGTGTCTCTCTCTGTCAAATAAATAAATAAAATCTTTAAAAAAAAACAAAACAAAACACAAAATCTTTGTTCAAAAAATGTATTAGTAGTGTCTTAGAAAATGTGTTAAAATGCAGTGAGTTTTCGAGTTGAAAGAGACCTTAGATCTAGGCCAGATTCCCCATCTGTAAGAACAGGAAACTGAGGCCTGAAGAAATTGATTGTTATTCAGTGATACAGATCTGGTTAGTGAACCCAGGCTTTTTGCATACCAGTCCATTCTAACTATTATATATGATTGCTTTATGGGACTATTTTTTTCATAAATAATACTGTAAATGCTGAATGCTAATAAAGTATGAGTGCCGATTTAATATTGACTATTGTATTTAAGTATATTTTGCCTTTTTTTCTGTCTTGGTGTGAGAACTTAAATTTGGCAGGAGGCAGAAATATTTCACTCCTTAAGCATGATAGAGTAAATTTAGCTTAGTGATTAAGAGCGTGGGCTTTGGAATTAGATTTGCTTTGAGTCCTGGCTTTTCTATTTAACACCTGCAGCATTGACTCTGTATCTTAGTTTTCCTATCTGTAAGAATGTAGGAAGATTGAGCTTTTACAGGGCTCAGAGCAATTCCTGGGACATATGAACAGATAGCTGTTAAGATGTCAAAATTAGCCATATGTTCATATTCTGCTTATTGTTGTTTTGGATCATAAAGGTTTCCTTCAGTGGTGTAGTGAAAGCTCTATGTGAATTTGCCTGCAGAAAAGATTTAAATGAATGAGCTTTAGTACTTCTGATAGAGTTTCTTTGTCACCTGTGTGCAAACAACCTGTGGCCAAGGGGAATGCAAAAGAAAAATGTGGGCCTTGTTCTCAAGATGTTAGTTACCTTTCTTTAGGAGACAATTATAAATTGGGGAAGAGTTTTTGTTAAAATGTGACCTTTTTAAGTGAAAAAGAAGTACTTTATTTGGAAGCCTTTCAGATAATACAGCTTTACAGGATTATTTGGGATTTCTTGATAAGGCTCTGGTGGCCTTGAACTGCACCAAGAAATCTAGATTCTAATCCTATGGTATATGTAATCTTGAATCCCTTGGTAAACTTCCTATCTTACTTTATTTTTTTTTAAAGGTTTTGTTTGAGGGGGTGCCTGGGTGGCTCAGTCGGTTAGGCATCTGCCTTCCGCTCAGGTCATGATCCTGGGGTCCTGGGATCAAGCCCTGAGTAGGGCTCCCTGCTCAGCAGGGAGCATGCTTCTCCTTCTGCCCCTCCCCCTGCTCATGCTCACTCTCTCTCTGTTAAATAAATAAATAAAATCTTTAAAAAAAGAGAGAGATTTTGAGAATGAGAGAGTGTGCACACTTGAGAGCACGAGTTGGGGGAGAGGCAAGGGAGAGGGAGAAACAGACTCCCCGCTGAGCAAGGAGCCCGATGGGGCTGGATGCCAGGACCCTGAGATCACGACCTGAGTGGAAGGCAGATGCTTAACTAACTGAGCCGCCCAGGCGCCCCTAAAATTCCTATTTTAAAATTGGGTCTTGGAAAATAGAAAGTGGCGGTCACATCCATCTGACATCCGTGGTGTTCTTTTATGTAATTTTGCAAAGGAGAGAATTTCATTCCATTCAAAACCTTTCTCCTTTTTCTCCCTTTAGTTCTTTGCTTTTAGCAAATTTAAAATAATAAATACTTAGTTTAATGCCTACTATCTGGCATTTTATATGTATGGCAGCCTTATGAGATTGATGTTATTTTACAGATTAGAAAATTGCAGCTCTGGAGAAAGTACGTAACTTTCTCAGTATCAAGCAACTTGGTGGAACAGGGGTTGGAAACTATGTCTCCGACTCCCAAATATTTACTGATGATAGTGGAAAGAATAGTGTACAATCATGTCTGCTGCTTGCTACCTGTCCATTATTTTTAAAGATGCTTTTTAAAATTATGGAATATTTTATACTTAGAAGTTTAGAAAACAGTAGGTGTGAACAGCTTTATGGTCATGGTATAGATTTAACAGATCTTAACTCTCTCATACTTGGTTAACTTGCCCTTTCCCTCAGGAAATAAAACAACATACAGATGAAGTTCACTTTGTAACCTTTTCCCTTTTCCATTCTCTTTCTTAGAAGTAACCACTGTGCTGAAGATGCCTGTATCCTTACCATTCATACTTTTGTTTTTACTATTGAAACCATAGTAATTTTGAGTATAAAAGCACTTTTTAGTGTTTTTAAAAGTTTAAAAATTTTTTTTCGTAGATAATTGTAATATTCTACATCTCCTGCAACTTTTCTTCTCCTCCTCCTCCTTCTCCTCTTCTTCTTCTTTTAAAGATTTTATTTATTCATTTGAGAGAGAGAGCAAGCACAAGTAGGGGGGGAGAGGCAGAGGGAGAGAGAAGCGGACTCCCCACCAAGCCGGGAGCCCGACATGAGACTCTATCCCAGGACCTGGAGATCATGACCTGAGCTGAAGGCAGACGCTTAACCATCTGAGCCACCTAGACGCCCCTCCTGCAACTCTGCTTTTTAGTGTTCTTTTTTTTTTTTTTTTTGAGAATTTATCCATGACAATGCATATTGCTTTAGTTCTTTAAATTATGTAGTATTTCACATCAGTTTTTTTGTTGTTGTTTATTCATTCTCTATGGACAGCATGTAGTTTCAACTTTTAGCTGTTGTACAAAAAAAAAAAAGTATCGAACATTACTATATATGTTTTCTCGGATACCTAAGAGTTTTTCCTAGGAGGTAGTATTGTAGGATCTGAGTGTATTTGCATCTTCTGCATTACTGGATATTGCTTCAACCTACCAATGATTGTATCAGTTTACACTCTTCTAGCAGTTTGTACGAGTTCTAGTGACCTGACATTTGTTAAGACTTACATTTTTGTAAGTCTGGTGGATGTGAAATGGTAGCTTATTTTAATTTTAATTTCCCTCACCAGTAGAGATATTAAGCACATTTTTGTGTTTATTGGCCATTAGGCTTTCTTTTGCAAACTTAGCGTTCTTATTCCTTACTCATTTAAAAAAATTGGGGGCACCTGGGTGGCTCAGTTGGTTAAGCATCTGCCTTCAGCTCAGGTCATGATCCCAGGGTCCTGGGATCGAGTTCCACGTCCGTAGCCCTGTGCAGCCCTAGCACAGCAGGGAGTCTGCTTCTCCCTCTGCCCCTACCCCCCCACCCCGCTCGTGCCCGCACAGGTGTGTATGCTCTCTCCCTCCCTCTTGCGTGCGTGCACACACACAAATAAGTAAATAAAAATTTTTTTTTTTTTTTAAAGATTTTATTTATTTGACAGAGAGATCACAAGTAGGCAGAGTGGCAGGTAGAGGGAGCAAGAGAAGCAGGCTTCCTGCTGAGCAGAGAGCCTGATATGGGGCTCAATCCCAGGACCCTGGGACCATGACCCGAGCCGAAGGCAGACGCTTAACTGACTGAGCCACCCAGGTGCCCCAATAAATAAAAATCTTAAAAATAAATTTGGATGGTTTGTATTTTCCTTATTGATTTGCAAGAACTCTTTATGTATTTATATGATTTCGTCTACTTCCATTATGTGGCTTAATTGTTAACTTTGTTTTTTTTTAATGCTCTTTTTTTGGTAATTGTGGTACACTACACATACAAAACTTACCATCTTGTATATTTTTAAGTTACAATTTCAGTATACATTTTTGTACAACCATTACCGCTATCCATCTACAGAACTTGTTTCATCTTGTAAAACCGAAATTCTGTATCTATTAAATGCTAACTCTGCTTCTCTGTTGCCCAGCCTGTTCTTTTCATCTACTTCTTGTCTCTATGAACTACTCTATTATAGGTTATTTGTCCTTCTGTGACTGTTGTATTTATTTTTTTTAATGTAATATTATTTTTAAAGATTTTATTTATTTATTTGACAGAGAGAGACACAGCGAGAGAGGGAACACAAGCAGGGGGAGTGGGAGAGGGAGAAGCAGGCTTCCCGCTGAGCAGGGAGCCCGATGTGGGACCCTGGGATCATGACCTGAGCTGAAGGCAGACGCTTAATGACTGAGCCACCCAGGTGCCCCTGTGACTGTTTTATATTGTTTAACTTTGTCATATCTTCTATCTGAAGTTTAATTTTTAAGTAGTCACATTTTTGGGGGGGGGCGCCTGGCTGGCTCAGTTGGTAGAGTGTGAACTAGATCCTGGGGTTAATGAGTTCAAGCCCCATGTTGGGGTAGAATTCACTTAGAAAGAAAGAAGTAAGTCACATTTTTCTGTTTTTCCTGTATGGTATGCTTTTTGTATTTTGTTTAAGAAATCTTTTCCTTACTTTAATTATCATAAAGATATTTTATATTTGGTTATAGGAGCAAAAGTGGGTTATATTCCTTAACTGCTGTACTCAGGCTTCTATCTCTACATATCATATGGAAACAACTACTTCGGCATTACCAGTATCTTCCCATTTGTCAAATTCAGAGTAACTTCTCATCAGTTCATTTTGTCCATCTTTCACTTCATTTCTCAGAGCTTGCCTCTTGTGGTTGCTCTGATAACTGCTGGTCTTCCTTCATACTGTTACTACCCTTTCTAAGTTGTTTTCAACCCTTTTTCTCCATTTATCTCCTAAATCTTTGTTTCCTCTTTTGCATTCCTTTCGTTAATTACTCTAGGTCGGGTTTTCATATCCCAGATGGACTATTTATAGTAAAACAGTTTGCTTATTATTATTTTTTTAAACTTTATCTTTTTTATCCCTAGTTTTTTTTTTTTTTTAAAGACTTTATTTGTCAGAGAGAGAGCACAAGCAGGGGGAGTGGCAGGCAGAGGGAGAAGCAGACTCCTCGCTGAGCAAGGAGCCTGATATAGGACTTGATCCCCATCCCAGTACCCTGAGATCATGACCCAAGCTGAAGGCAGAGGCTTAACTGACTGAGCCACCCAGGCGTCCCAAACAGTTTGCTTATTTACATTTATTTCTCTGCATCCTCTGTTCAACTCTCCTGGTGCCATGCCACAGGACTGATTCATTGATTGATTTTTAAAGATTTTATTTATTTGAGAGAGAGAGCATGGGGAGGGGAAGAGGGAAAGAAAGAAGCAGACTCCCCACTCATTAGGGAGCCTGACGTGGGGCTCCATCCCAGGATTCTGGGATCATGACATGAGCTGAAGGCAGACGCTTAACTGACTAGGCCACCCAGGTGTCCCCATGCCACATGATTTAATTTTTAAAATATGATCTTGTCATTTTCCTTTAGTCTCTCTACTGCCTATTGCATAAAGGCAAAACTTTTATACTTTTGTTCTAGCCTACCTTTCTTGACCTATTTCCTGTCAAGTCTCAACACAGTTACATGCCTACACATACTTCACTCTTAGATCTTCAGCTACACGATATTGCTCACCATTTAGTTATTCTGTCTGCCTTCAATAAGCCCTTACCTCCTTCTTTGCCCTTGAAATATACTTCTCCTAAAATGCCACTCCTGATAAACCTTTTGTGAAAACACAGTTTATCCCTATTTTCCTGTATCATTTTGTCAGGACTTTGTTAGAGCAGTTATATATGTATTGGTAATTGTACATGTGTCTTTCTGCTGCTGCTAGATATCATTGAGCTCCTTGAAGATACTTACCTTTTTTCCTTCATCTTGTATAGTGCCTGGAATTGGTAGGCTTAGTAACATTTACAGTAAGCCAAAAAATCTTTGAAGACATCTACTTTTTTTTTTTGGAGTTGCTGCTGCACGTGCATAAACCCTTTGCATAGGTGTTAGGGCAGGCCTGTTACTCTTAATTATTTTCAGCCTTTTTGGGATTACATATTTTTCTAGTGATTACAAATGCAGGGCTAGTATATGTAGACTTCTTTCTCAAGTGACTGTGCTTTACTTTTAGGTTTCCTTGTTTTGTTTTTGTGGATTTTTTGGTTTGTTTTTGTTTAATTTGAGAGAGAGAGATTAAGCAAGGGGGAGAGAGAGAGAACATGAGTGTGGAGGAGGAACAGAGGGAGAAGCAGACTCCCCACTGGGCAGGGAGCCCAATGTAGGGCTCTATCCCAGGACTCTAGGATCATGACCTGAGCCGAAGACAGACACTTAACTGACTGGCCACCCAGGTGCTCCAAGGTTTCTTTGTTTTACGTGAACTATCCTATTTGGGATTGGCATACTTAAAGTGTGGGTTGTCTGATACTATTGCTTTTTAGCAGTGATAATACATTTTGCTTCATTTTTCTTAAATCCTTCTGTAGTATTTCCTTTTTTAAAAAAATAGAATGTACTGAAGTTGATGCATCTATGGAACATTTGGATATTTCCGGGTGTTTTGTTTTTTTTTTTTGGTGCACGTGTGTAAGAATTTTAGGTGTGTATCTGAGAGTGGTATTACTAGTCCATTGGGTGTTTGGATGAGATATTAGGTGTTTGGATGAGATATTAGGTGGTTAGATGTGTCAGACATTGTATCTGTAGGCTTGGTCATACTTTGTTATATCCTTAGGTGTTTACTTAGGTGCTTTATCTCTTATCTGCTAGGAACTGTGAGTGTGAGTCATTAAAGGCAGAGACTTATATTTTCAGTTCTCCATTGCTTAGCTCATTGCCAGGTAAGAAGGAGGCACTTGTTTTCCCAAATGAGTTTAAGGATTTTTTTTTAAGCGCCCGGGAGCTCATACCCAACCATTTGAAAGTATGACCGCTTATCCTGCTTCTGAGACTAGGGACTTTATAGTATGTTGATAAAGGTGACCCATTCTGTTCAGTGTGAGTGTTGATAATTTGGTCAGTTTGTGCTTTGGGGTGATACAATGTCAAAGCCAAAAACTGGGAAATAAGATGGTGGGAAGGCAGTCTTTTTTTTATTTATTCTGTAGTTTTCCCTGTTAAAGATCTCAGGGGGCATCTATTTAGTATTATATATGACATCATCTGTATCACTATGGGTTAACTCTTTAGTTTAAGTCTACATTTTTCTTCATTTATTCAACAAATATTTATTGAATGCCATCTATGTTGTTAATAAGGTAGACATAGTCCAGGGCACCTGGGTGACTCAGTCTGGGCGGCTCAGTCAGTTAAGCCTCTGCCTTCGGCTCGGGTCATGATCCCAAGGTCCTGGGATTGAGCCCCACATTGGGCCCCTTGCTCAGCAGGAAGTCTGCTTCTCCCTCTCCCCCTCCCCCTGTTCATGCTTGTGCGCTCGCTCTCTCTCTGAAATAAATAAATAAATCTTAAAAAAGATACACATGGTCCATGCTATTATGGAGTAAATTATGGTCTAGTAAGGCAGTGAAACATTGAACAATTATATGTGTGTTTGTTGAGTTTAAATAAGGAGAACTGTTGGGGTGGGGTAACCTACCTGAGGGAAAGAGTTCCTTGGGAATAATCCTTAAACTGATAGTTGGGAGGGTAAATTGGAATTAACTTAGTCATACAGTAGGATGATCAATTCTTATATGCATACAGAAAGAACTAGTAATCGTTATACAGTCAATGTAGAACCATTTAATTGCTTTTCCCTTTTAAATAATTGGCCAGTTTCTGTGAATACAAAAGTAACATGTTTGCTTATTATTGAATTTTGGAAAATACATAGAACTATAATAAAGTAAAAATTATCTGTAATCCCACCCCTGGAGATAATTCTTTTCTTTAAAATATTTTGTTTGTGTATGAAATATTTCAAACATGTAGAGATACATCTTCATTTTGGTTATTTCCTTCTATTGTTTTTTTTCTTTCATTTTTTTCTGTACATATATACATACATTTAGAAGTTTTTAAAAGAGCTTTGAATATAATTCCAATCAGACTTTCAACCCAGATTTGTAATTTTTAATGTTTTTCAAAGTGATTCAAAGGTGTCTTTCACTACTAGACTCCCTACTTTTTTTTTTTTTTTTAAGATTTTATTCATTTATTTGAGAGAGCATGCCCCCATGCACAGGCAGGGGCAGAGGGAGAAGCAGACTCCCCACTGAGCAGGGAGCCCGATGCTCCCTGAGAAGCTCAAGAGTAAGGAAGCATCTTGGCTCATCTTTGTATCATCAGTACCAACAGCTCTTTATTTAACAACTATTTGAGGGCTCCCTTTATCCTAGGTACCATGATATGTGCTGAGACTATAGTAATGAGTGGGGCAAGGTAAGACAGACAAATAAGTGATAAAAGCAATGCAGAGAAATACAATATTGTATAGATGAAATTAATTGGTTGTTTTTGACTGGGTGTTCAGAAAAGGCCTTTCCTAGGACTCGACTTAAATTGAGATCTGAATGATAAAGCTGTGTCTTTAGGGAAAGAAAATATTCCGTATCAGAGGAAATAGTGAATGTAAAGGCCATAAATTAGGAATAAATTTGCTATGTTTAAGCAAGCAAAAGGTTATTGTGGCTGGAGTATTGTGGGTAAGAGGCGGTGAATGATGCAAGATGAAGTTGGAGATGTGGGAGGCAGGAGCCAGATCACATAAAACTTCCTAAGTCCAAAGTAAAGAATTTGTATTTTAAGTGACTCTGAAAGCCATTTGAGGATTTAAAGAAAAGAACAAAATTTTTGTTTTTAAAAGACCACTTCAGGGGCGCCTGGGTGGCTCAGTTGGTTGAGTGTCCAGCTCTTGATTTCAGCTCAGGTCATAATCTCAGGGTTATGGGATCAGTCCCCGAATCGGGCTTTGCGCTGGGCATGGAACCCTCTTGGGATTCTGTCTTTCCCTCTCCCCCACCCCACCCCTACCCCTACCACCCGCACATTCTCTCTAGATCTCTCTTAAAAAAAAAAAACAAAAACAAACTTTGATGCCTTAAACTTATGACTAAGGAAATAATGCGGGGTGATGCCTGATTCCTCACTGCTAATCTGAGATGTATTTTTGAGCAGATAAAGGTTGCCCCTAAGGTTACGCGTCTACTTTGTGGGATCCTTGGGAGTCAAGACCTGCCCATCCCCCCTTTAAAAAAAGACCACTTTGGCTGCTGTGTGGAGAATGAATTGAAACTGAAGATGTAAAGAAAAAGGATGGGGCGCCTGGGTGGCTCAGTCTGTTAAGTGTCTGCTTAGCTCAGGTCATGATCCCAGGACCCTGGGATCTAGCCCTGCATCCAGCTCCCTGCTCTGTGGGGGGCTTGCTTCTCCCTCTCCCCCTGCTTGTGTTCCCTCTCTTGCTGTTTCTCTGTCAAATAAATAAATAAAATCTTTAAGGAAATAAAAAAATAAAAAATAAATAAAAAGGTTTTAGGAGTTAGGGGTTGAGTTTGGCTGGAGTAAAGTCAAGTCTGGAGAGAAGTATCCCAGAGTTGCTTGGTTAGGGATTTTACGGTGTTAATAGACTACTAACTTTCAATTTACCATTCTTAGGAGTTTGACCCTTGTCCTTAAACTCTCGAAATGCCTGTCAGAGGTCCAGACAACATGTCTTAATTTCAGAAAGGGAAAGGCATAACCCACATGTCAGCTGAGTTCGTCCCCTTTCTGAAAAATCCCATTCAGTGACTTCTATTTTTATTTATTTTTTTTTTAAAGATTTTATTTATTTATTCATGAGAGACAGAGACAGAGAGAGGCAGAGGGAGAAGCAGGCTCCCAAGGAGCAGGGAGCCCGATGAGGGACTCGATCCCAGGACCCTGGGATCATGACCTGAGCCGAAGGCAGACGCTTAATGACTGAGCCTCCCAGGCGCCCCTGTGGTGTCTTTGAAACCATGAGAAAACAAGAGTTCCAAGAGTGGTCAACTTTGTCATGCTGCTGAGTGAGAGAAATGACCGCTGAATTTGCAGCGCATTATCATTGGTAACCTTGACTAGAATATTTTCATTGGAATGGTGAAGATGGATATATGGTTGGACAGAGTAAGAGGAAGTGAAGTGAGGAACTGGCAGCTATGGTCAACTTTTTAAAGTTTTGCTTTGACAGAAGAGCAGAGAAGAAAGGGGGAGCTGCAGAAGAATATGGCCTCAGAAATCTTAAAAAAATTTTTTTAAGGTTCTATTTATTTATTTTAGAGAGAGAGAGAGAGTGTGCGCACGCAAGTGCGGGCAGGAGAGGGACAGGCAGATTCTGTGCTGAGCTCAGAGCCCGACTCAGGGCTTGATCTCACAACTCTGAGATCATGACTTGAGCCAAAATCAGGACTCAGACACTTAACCAACTGAGCCCCCCAGGTGCCCCTTAAAAATTTTCTCATATTCTACTGATTATGTTTATATGTTGATGGATGGGAGAAATTGATTATGCTAGAGAATGGAGGAGTAATTGAACCTGCAAAGTCCTTGAGAAGAATGGGGGGTGGGGGTATTACTAGATAAATGGAAGGATTAATCTTTAATAGGAGCAGAGACACTTAGGGCAATGTTAAGTTTTCATTTGGGATTTGTGGTATTCACTTGAACATGAGACCAATTAATGATGGCTGTGTGTGTGTTTTTCCCCAGCAGTGCTGCTTGGGGCAGACACAGGAAGGTGGTTTGGTTTTGTTTGGTTTTGTTTAAGTTAATTGGGGAATGAGTTTAACTAGCAGTGGGGCTTTGCCGTATGAGTACCATGAAGGAACAAAAGCATCAAGGTTAGCAAGGAGTGATTGGTAATGATGGATAGTGGTGATATTCGATTAAGCCAGCTAATAGCTGGGTTTGGAGTACTAGTGAGCTTGATCTAAGGAGGTTGGGAATCTGAGAAACTTGAAATGGATTTCAGAGAAAGTACAGTTTCTGGTGATGACAAAATTATGTGTATGACCATGGGGATAAGAGCTTACAGTCTTTAAATATTTATTAGAATTGCAGTCTTTGTCTCCTTACTCTCTTTTGAGAATTTAGAAATGTGCAAAGGTGACAGGTATAAGCAACAGTCTCTCATCAGCCACAGATTGCTGTTGCTAGTAACATCTTTTTTTTTTTTAAACCAAATCAAGGTCTTAGTATGTAGTATACTGTTTTATATTTTTTTCTCATAATATATTTTATATTTCCTTCCTTCCTTCCTAAGTAGGCTCCATGCCCAATGGGGGCTTGAACTCACCACCATGAGATCAAGACCTGAGTTGAGATCAAGAGTTGGACGTTTGGGGCGCCTGGGTGGCTCAGTCACTTAAGCGTCTGCCTTCGGCTAGGGTCATGATCCCAGCGTCCTGGGATTGAGCCTCGCATTGGGCTCTCTGCTCAGCGGGGAGCCTGCTTTCTCCCTCTCCCTCTGCCTGCCACTCTACTACTTGTGTGCGCTCTCTTTTTCTCTCAAATAAGTAAATAAATAGAATCTTAAAAAAGAGAGAGAGGGAGAAATGTTTGACTGAACCACCCAGGCCCTGATATATCTTATGTTTTCTATGTGGCATTAAATATTCTTTAAAAATGTTTACTGTTTAGGGGTGCCTGGCTGGCACAGTTGGTGGAGTGGGCGACTCTTGATCTCGGGGTTATGAGTTCAAGCCCCATGTTGGGTGTAGAGATTACTTAAAATCTTTTTTTTTAAGATTTTACTTTATTTATTTGACAGACTACAAGCAGGGGGAATAGCAGAGGGAGAGGGAGAAGCAGGCTTTCCACTGAGCAGGGAGCCCGATGCGGGACTCGATCCTAGGACCCTGGGATTGTGACCCGAGCCGAAGGCAGCCGCTTAACCATCTGAGCCCCTCAGGCGCCCCCCCACCTTTTTTGGGAAGATTTTATTTATTTGACAGCGAGAGAGGGAACACAAGCAGGGGGAGTGGGAGAGGGAGAAGCAGGCTTCCCGTGGAGCAGGGAGCCTGATGTGGGGCTCGATCCCAAGACCCTGGGATCATGACCTGAGCCGAAGACAGGTGCTTTATGACTGAGCTACTAAGATTACTTAAAATCTTTTTTAAAAGTTTGTTTAAATATTAAATAGCATTAAATGTTAACAGTATTTAATTTATATATCTAATATTTAGTATTACCTGACTAAACCATTCTTTTTTTTTTTTTTTTTTTTAAGTTTTATTTATTTAAGTAATCTCTACACCCAACATGGGGCTTGAACTCAATGATCCCGAGATCAGGATTCTCATGTTCTTCCGACTGAGCCAGCCAAGCCACCCTAAACCGTTCTTTAGTTGAACATTTAAAAGTTGTTTCTGGGGGCACCTGGGTGGGCTCAGTCGTTAAGCGTCTGCCTTCAGCTCAGGTCATGATCCCAGGGTCCTGGGATTGAGCCCCACATCGGGCTCCCTGCTCCGCGAAAAGCCTGCTTCTCCCACTCCCCCTGCCTGTGTTCCCTCTCTCGCTGTGTCTCTGTCAAATAAAAAAAAATTAAAAAGTTGTTTCTGTTTTTTCCACTGTGTGTGTGTGTGTGTGTGTGTGTATTGAATAGAATATCTTTATATAATTTTTATATGAATTTATTTCCCTAAGATAGATATCTTGGAAAAAAGTTACTGGTCTTTGTGTCTGAACTTTTCATATGCTGATGACCAAAGTGCTTCTCAGAAAGTTTGTTGTAAATTACTCTAGCACTGGCATTGTATGAGGCAGCCAATTTCATCATATTCTCTCCATTAATACAATCTTTTTTTAAAGTCAAATAGAAAAATCAATTGTCCAGTTTTATTTTTTAATTTTTTTTAACTTTTTATTAAGAAAAAAAATTTTTTTTTTAGGATTTCAAATCCTATCTATTTGAGAGAGAGAGGACGAGCTGCGTGGGGGGGCGGGAATGCCACAGGGAGAGGGAGAAGCAGACTCCCTGCTGAGCAGGGAGCCCAGTGCGGGGCTTGATTCCAGGACCCTGGGATCATGACCTGAGCTGAAAGCAGACGCTTAACTGACTGAGCCACCTAGGTGCCCCTTAATTAAGAAAATTTTCAAATGGAAAGTTGAAGTATACTTACATTCCCACTATCTAGATTCAACAATTGTTAGTGTTACTGATAGGAAGGTAATTCACTACTAAAATCTTGAGCTTGCATCTCCTAAAAATAACATTCTTTTACATAACCATAATATCATTGTCCTGCCAAAGAAAATGTTAATTCCTTGGTATCTAATATTCATACTTCCTCAGGTTTTATAGCCTTTTTTGGGAAGGAGGAGCAGGATCTACTTAGGGTTTACAAATTGCATATGAATGTAATTTTTAGTGTTTTAAAATTTACAGTGGTTCTCTCACACACACCCTTTTGTTTTTTGACACTGAAAATCCTGGAGATTTCTTTTTAAATATTTTATTTATTTATTTGACAGAGAGAGACACAGCGAGGGAAAGAGCACAAGCAGGGAGAGTGGGAGAGGGAGAAGCAGGTTTCCCGCTGAGCAGGGAGCCCGATGCAGGGCTGGATTTCAGGATCCTGGGATCCTGACCCGAGCCGAAGGCAGACGCCTAACGACTGGGCCACCCAGGCGCCCCATGGAGATTTCTTTATGGTGGTGCTTTTTATATTTCTTGTAAACTGGGAATTTATATATAAAGGTTTGACTAGATTCAGGTTAAACATTTTTGGCAAGAAGTCTCCTAGTGTAGTATAAATTTCATATTCAGTCATTAGTAGATGTGCAATAATATCAGGTTGTCTCACTGTTAGCGATGCTAGGTCATTTGATCCTTGCCTGCATCAGTTATTATTACATTGGGGGTTGCAGAAAGTTGATTTCCTAATTGCTAACTTTACATTTGCTTAGCTAATATTCTCCTAGAAAGAAGAGATTTCCATTGTCAACTGGAATGAAAATTATTATCAGAGTAAAGATTTGATATAGTAGTCACCTCCAATGGCAATAATGATTTTCCCCTTTCTCTTTTTTTATTACCAGTGTGTGGATGTCTTGGTCAACCTAAGCTACCATAGCGAAATACCATAGTCTGGGTGGCATAAACAACAGAAACTAACTTTCTCACAGTTCTAGAGGTTGGGGATTTCAAGTCACAGCTTCAAAAGTAATTTGAGACCTTTGTTGTTTGAAATTCTTGTGATTAAAATAAAATTTATTTTAATTTATTTATTCAAAATAAATTCATGTTGGATTTTATAATAGTGTTTGTAAACATTGAGGTGAAAGGATTACTCTTTTTTTTTTTAAAAGATTTTATTTATTTGAGAGAGAGAGAATGAGAGAGAGCACGAGAGGGAGGAGGGTCAGAGGGAGAAGCAGACTCCCTGCCGAGCAGGGACTCGATCCCGGGACTCCAGGATCATGACCTGAGCCGAAGGCAGTCGCTTAACCAACTGAGCCACCCAGGCGCCCCGAAAGGATTACTCTTAAGTGGTAGAAGTGATGGCATATTTTCTTGTCTTTTCCCTTTTTTAAGAAAAATACGATTTTGTTTCAATTTCAGATACATATACTTGTCAAATTTAAGGTCTGTATTTGTCAAATTAAGGCATTTCCAAATACCTTTTTAATTTTTTTTAGATTTTATTTTTAAGATTTATTTATTTTAGAGTGCATGTATGCAGGGGGTGGGGGTGGGCAGAAGGAGAGGAAGAGAGAAACTTAAGCACACTCCTTGCTGAGTGTGGAGCCTGACTCATGACCCTGAGATCACCACTAGAGCCAAAACTGAGAGTCCCGTGCTCAACCAAATGCACCACCCAGGTGCCCCTTAATATTTTATTTTATTTTTATTTTTTATTTATTTGACAGAGAGAGAGACAGCGAGAGAGGGAACACAAGCAGAGGGAGTGGGAGAGGGAGAATCAGGCCTCCTGCGGAGCAGGGAGCCCGATGTGGGGCTCGATCCCAGGACCCTGGGATCATGACCTGAGCCAAAGGCAGACGCTTAATCGACTGAGCCACAAAGGTGCCCCTAATATTTTATTGTTAAGTAATCTCTACACCCAACTGGGGCTCAAATTTATACCACCAAGGTCAAGAGTCACATGTTCCACCAACTGAGCCAGCCAGGCACCCCCCAAGTACTTTTTGATAAAAGTTTTAATGGAATGAAATCATTCTTGAATTTTGGAATAAATCCCTTTCGGTCATAGTGAATAGTACTTCAGTTTGTAATGCATGTTAACCAAGATTTTGTTCAGAATTGTGTATCTTTTTAGTGAGACTTGCCTGTATTTGTTCAGAATTGTGCTAGGTAAGTTTGAGGGGAGTCAGAGCCATGTTTGTTTTATAAAATGTGTTTATGATCATTCTATTCATTTAATTGTTTTGAAACCATATGGGATTATTCTTTGTAAATTGGGCTATGTGTTTGAGAACGAAGTATCTTTTTAGAGCAATTGCTAAAAGGCGTATTTTTTGTGAATTTCTTAATGTTCTGTTCATGTTCAAAATTTTTGTCAATTTAGGTGTTTTTAAAAACTGTAATACATTTCTTTTATTATTTATGATCTGTTATAATATGTAGCAAATACAGGGTATGATTTACTTCATTTTTTAGTTTCTTTTTCTCACCTTTATTTTACTTATTCTTTTTTTTTTTTTTTTTAAGATTTTATTTATTTGACAGAGAGAGAGAGAGAACAAGTAGGCAGAGAGGCAGGCAGAGGGAGAGGGAGAAGCAGGCTTCCCACTGAGCAGGGAGCCCGATGCGGGGCTTGATCCCAGGACCCCGGGATCATGACCTGAGCCGAAGGCAGCGGCTTAACCGACTGAGCCACCCAGGTGCTCCTATTTTACTTATTCTTTATCTTATCAGTTGAGCCCATGGCTTTTCAATTTTATTTTGTTTTTCTTCCTTTGGTTTCAGTTCTTTAAGAGTTTTGTTATTTTGTCTTTTTTGCTGTCAGTACTTTTTATCATTTAAAATTCCTTTGAAATTTCTTAGTGATACAGGAATTTGGAAGATCAAAAAGTTGTTTTAAATTAAGGATACAGGGTCTTTGTGAAAAATATACAGAGGGGCACCTGGGAGGCTCAGTTGTTAAGCGTCTGCCTTCGGCTCAGGTCATGATCCCAGGGTCCTGGGATCGAGCCCCACATCGGGCTCCTGGCTCAGCCGGAAGCCTGCTTCTCCCTCTCCCAATCCCCCTGCTTGTATTCCCTCTCTCTGTGTCAAATAAATAAAATCTTTTTTTTTTTTCTTTAAAGATTTTATTTATTTATTTGAGAGAGAGAATGAGATAGAGAGAGCATGAGAGGGGGGAGGGTCCAAGGGAGAAGCAGGCTCCCTGCTGAGCAGGGAGCCCGATGCGGGACTTGATCCCGGGACTCCAGGATCATGACCTGAGCCGAAGGCAGTTGCTCAACCAACTGAGCCACCCAGGCGCCCCAAATAAATAAAATCTTAAAAAAAAAAAATATATATATATACACACACACACACACACACAGTAAAAGTTTTCTTTTTTTTTTTATTTTCTTTTTGATCATTTACTTCAAGGAGAGAGAGAGAGTTGGGGGAGGGGGGAGAGGGAGAGGGAGAGAGAGTCTTAAGCAGACTCGACACTGAGCCCAGAGTCCAACGTGGGTCTTGATCTGACGACCCAGAGTTCATGAGCTGAATCGAAGCCAAGGTCGGATGCTTAACTACGCCACCCAGGTGCCCTAGAGTAAAAGTTTTCAATACTTAGGCACCCTTTCCTTCCTCTCCTCAGTCCTAATCCTCTCTTTCAGAGGGAACTTTCAATAACTTTTTCTTTTTCTTGTTTTTTTTTTTTTTTAAAGATTTTATTTATTTGACAGAGAGAGACACAATGAGAGAGGGAACACAAGCAGGGGGAGTGGGAGATGGAGAAGCAGGCTTCCTGCTGAGCAGGGAGTCCGATGTGGGGCTCAATCCCAGGACCCTGGGATCATGACCTGAGCCGAAGGCAGACGCTTAATGACTGAGCCACGCAGGCGCCCCTTTCAATAACTTTTTCTGTGCATTTATATATTTAGTAAATATAGGAATTTTCAGTTTATGAACTTTCTTAAATAAATACGAACAAGGGTACAACCATACTAAAAGTATTTTAGCTCTGTGTGTGATGATAGTTGTAAAGGAAAGCTTGTGCAGTATCACAAGATTTAAGAACAACTTTTTGACACCCCGTGGTTCCACAGATGCATAGCTTCTCTCATTAGCATCCCTACAAACTACCAAGGTATAGATTACATCTGTTACAATCTATGAACCTACACTGACAATCATCCAAAGTCCATAGTTTACCTTAAGGTTCACCCTTGGTGGTGTTTGTTCTGTGGGCAATGTAATATGTAATGACATGTGTTTGTCATTATAATATCATACAGAGTATTTTTTTAAGTTTATTTTTTAGTAATCTCTATACCGTGTATGGGGCTTGAACTCATGACCCCAAGATCAAAAGTTGCATGCTCTTCCAACTGAGCCAACCAGGCACCTCCCCAGAGTATTTTCATTGCCTTAAAAATCCTCTGTGTCATCCTGTCCATCTCCCTCCCCACTACCACTGCTGTTGACCTTTTTACTGTCTCCATAGTTTTGCTTTTCCAGAATGGCATATAGTCGGAATTGCACAATATGTAGCCTTTTCAAATTGGCTTCTTTCAATTAGCAATAGGCATTTAAGTTTCTTCTGTATCTCTTCATGGCTTGATAGCTATTTTTATTATATATTTGTATATGTAACAAATATATATTTAATATTCCCTTATCTGAATGTATCACAGTTTATTCATCTACTGAAGTACATCTTCGTTGCCTCCAAGTTTTGGCAATCATGAATAAAGCTGCTATAAACATCCATGTACAGGTTTTTGTGTGGACATAAGTTTTCAACTCCTTTGGGTAAATAACAAGGGAGTGTGATTAGTTCTCAAAGAAACCACAGCTGTCTCCAGTGTGGCTGTATAATTTTGTATTCCCACCAGCACTGATTGAGAATTTCTTTTTCAGTTTTGTTTTGTTTTTTTTTAAATTTGACAGAGACACAGCAAGAGAGGGAACACAAGCAGGGGGAGTGGGAGAGGGAGAAGCAGGCTTCCTGCTGAGCAGGGAGCCCAGTGTGGGGCTCGATCCCAGGACCCCGGGATCATGACCCGAGCCAAAGGCAGACTAACGACTGAGCCACCCAGGTGCCCCTGATTGAGAATTTCTGCTGCTCCACATCCTTGCCCGCATTTCATCCAGATTTTGGCTGTTCTTATAGGTGTGCAGTGGTATTTAGTTGTTTTAATTTGCATTTCCTCCATGGCATATGAAGTGGACCGTCTTTTAATATGCTTATTTGCAATCTGTATATCTTGTTTGGTGAGGTGTCTGTTAAGGTCTTAAGTTCATTTTTTGTGTTGTTTTCTTATCGTTGAATTTTATGAATTCTCTGTGTATTTTGGGTAACAGTCCTTTATCAGATATGTCTTTTGCAGATATTTTCTCCCAGTCCCTTTTTCCTTTATTCTCACGACATTGTCTTTTGCAGAGCAGTTTTTTATTTTAATGAAGTCCTACTTATCAGTTATTTCTTTCACAGATTGAACTTTTGGTGTTATATCTAAAAAGTCATAGCCATACCAAGTTTATCTAGATTATCCCCTTTGTTATCTTCTAGGAGTTTTATACTTTTGTATTTTATGTTTAGGTCTCTAATCCATTTTGAGTCAATTTTCATGAAGGGTATTGTGAGTGTGCCTAGATTTTTTTCCCCCATGTATATGTCTAGTTGTTTCAGAAATGTTTGTTGCAAAGATTGTGCTCTGTTGTATTGCCTTTACTCTTTTGTCAAAGATCAGTTGACTGTATTATATTTATGTGGGCCTATTTCTGGGCTGTCTATTCTGTTTCATGGATTATTTGTTCTTTGGCCAGTACCATATTTTGATTACTGTAGCTTTACTCTAAATCTTGAAGCTCGGTAGGGTCACGCCTCCATTTTTTTTTTTTTAAAGATTTTATTTATTTGACAGAGACACAGCGAGAGAGGGAGTAGGAGAGGGAGAAGCTGGTTTACCTCTGAGCAAGGAGCCCGATGCGGGGCTCGATACCAGGACTCTGGGATCATGACCTGAGCTGAAGGCAGACGCTTAACGATTGAGCCACCCAGGCGCC